TTCTAATTCTATTATTATTCTCTATTCATACATTGGGGCTCTTTTATGAAAAACAATTTTCCCTTTTCTCGCCCTCTTTTCCCTTCTTTTTTTTTTTTTTAATCATTTCAAGTATCACTATGGCCAAGAATGGTGGTACACAATCCCAGCAGCCAGGGAGGCTGAGGCAGGAGGATCAAGGGTTGGAGGCCAGCCATAACAACTTAGCAAGGCCCTAAGTAACGTAATGAAACCCTGTCTCTAAATAATGTGTGTATATGTATTATGTGTGTGTATGTGTATATGTGTGTGTGTATGTGTATATGTGTGTGTGTATATATATATATATATATATATCTTGGGGACGTGGCTCAGTGGTTAAGCACCCTTGGGTTCAATCCCTGATACAAAAAAAAAATAAAAGTATCACTAAGGATTTATGAAGTTTTTTTCATTTGACCTATTATAACCCAATAAAATCATTTTATAGGAGGGGTTAGGAACTTGTTTAAATTGGATGTGGCTGTTCCTTGAAGCTGGCTCCCGTGTCTCTTTTATATGATCCTCTTATTCCTGGGGGCAATTCCCGACTTCTGACATGACAAATTGCTCCAGGCCAATCTTGGGCTTTCCTTCCTCTGTCCTGGTACCCCAACAATTTTTCAGGGAGCTTGTTCTTTTAGTAAGCTATGGCATTAGAAATCAGAATCTAAGCGCTAGATGCTTGAAACTACAGTTTCTCAAAGCAACTTTAAATCACGAAACTTCTCAGCCTGTCCTCCTCATGCCTGGGATGCTGAGACAGGACAAGAGTGACCAACAAAACAGCAGATTCCAGGGAAGAGTTCACCAGGAGTGCCGAGATAATCCCTATATCAGATGCCTTTCGGAGGCTGAGGGATCCAACCCTTCATTTGGCCTCACTCCAGAGATGAAGCTATTTAAGGAACCTGCCCTACCCTCCTTACAGTAACAAGTCACAAGGCATTTCTGGACCTAGCCCAAAAAAGAGACAACATTACTAGCATGGCTTTGATTTCAGAAAACTTGAACTTTCGAGTTTTATTTGTTTGTGCAAACTAGAATTGAAACCAGGGCTTCGCATACTGAGTGACATCCCCAACATCTTTTGTTTTATATTTTGAGAGAGGGTCTTGCTAAGGTGTCCATATCTACCTCAAACTTGCAATCCTCCTACTTCAGCCTCCTAAGTAGCTGGGATTATAGTGTGCACCACAGCGCTCGAATGAAAACTTGAGTTTAAATATTGATTTATTCTCCATCACTGTATTATCATGGGTAAGCCACATAATCTTACTGACCCTTAGTCTTTGTGTTTCTCATCTGTTTTGGATGGATTTTTTTGTCCTGAATAAAAATGTATTTAAAGGAACTTCCTTATATTGTTTTGCTTTCTTAAAGGGAAAATAATTAAATAAGATATTATGCCTGAAAGTTCTTGAAAATTGTAAAAAGCTGTGTGAACACTATTGCTAAATCAGAACCAGAGGGTAACATTTTAGGTGGACAGAAGTGGCCTACAGCATCGAAGTGCAAGAGCAATTTCAGCCCCCAGCTCTTTAATAAAGTCTCTAAGGGGCCAACTTGGGCTTGCTTTTCTTCTTCTCTCTTGATTTCCCTTTACAGAAATTGCTAACTAATGAGCAGAGAACAAGCCATGAGAAAACTTCTAGGAGTGGTCTGGAGGCTACGGCTCTGCTCAAAGGGGACACTTAACCCAGGGACACCCACTCTCAGCCTGGTAGGAGAGCAATGGATAATGTGTAGTCAGAACAGAGCAGCTGAAATAACAGAGTCTCTTACCATCTAGGGACATAAGTTGTTCAAACCACACTTCCCATTGAACAATAGCGATTAGCTAAAATGTCACCTCTCTTCCTGATTCAAACCAGCCTCGTTTTCTTTCTGTATCCCCCGACCAGCTTCCAGCCACTGTTGTTGCATTTCTAGGGCATGCCCCTTAGACAGACCTCCCAACAACTGGCTGCAAGAAGACCCACGTTGGGTCTTCCCAGCACTCTGTACATCACAGACTTCCCAGCACTCTGCCTGATCACCATGGACATTGGGGGAGTAAGAAGAAAGGTTCTCTGAACCTGTCCTGCCAGTGTGGAGATCTGGAGTGGGAGAGAGAATGTTGACCTAGACCTCAAAACCAGGGAGGGAGGAGAGGAATGCAATTGCTTGACACCTATCATTGGAGATGCCATTCAAGTTCCTTCAGCAGACATTTATTAAGCACCTACTGAGGGCATAGCTATGGGTAAGGCATGTAAAGCTTTATGGAGCACATTCTGCCCTATAAATGAGCATTTAACTAAACGAAATGCCCTTCACTGTGTTAGGACTATGTGACAGGGGCACAGAAGGCCAGGGGTTAGATATTCCATCCGTGCATGCGGACAATGTGAAATCAGCCTGAGCTTTTAAGAAGAGGCCAGAAGAAGGAAGAGTTCTAGGCAGAGAGGACACCATAAAGTGAGAGCGGCCTTTTCCAAAGAGGAATGAGCAAGTGTGATTTCCTGAATCATTTCCTGCCCCTCCCCATCATCTGCCTTCTCCCCTTAATTCAAGTCATGAGGTTAAAAAGCTTCTAGCCGAATGCAGTAGCGCAAGCCTGTGATCCCAGCGGCTTGAGAGGCTGAGGCAGGAGATTATGAGTTCAAAGTCAGCCTCAGCAAAAGCGAGGCTCTAAGCAACTCAGTGAGATCCTGTCTGTAAACAAAATACAAAATAAGCCTGGGGATGTGGCTCAGTGGTCGAGTGGCCCTGAGTTCAAACCCCAGTCCCCTCCCCATCCCACCCCCCCAAAAAACCTTCTAGACCATGAGGTTCTTTCCAGGCTCAAGATTAACTGTTCTAAGGAATACTAGTGTAGTTGGCCAACTAGAGGTGGCAGGCTGCATCCTAGTAAATGTTACCTGGTAAGGAAAATAAGGGGTTTTGAAGATTTAATGGAATTAAGGCTCTTGAGATGAAAATCATCTTGGATTATGTAGGCGAGTCTTAAATGCAATCACAAGTGTCCTTAAAAGGGAAAGTCAAAGGAGATTTCAGAAAGATAGACACAGAGGAGAGAGTGATGTGGATACAGAACAGAAAGACATTTGAAGATGCTGTCTTAAGATTAGAATGATGTGGCCATAAGCAAAGAATTGCCATCAGCCACCAGAAGTTAGAAGAGACAAGCAGCAGATTTGCCTCTCGGTCTTTAGAAAGAAGCCCAGCCTTCCCAACACCTTGATTTTAGCCCAGTGGTGCTGATTTAGGGCTTTAGGCCTCCAGAACTGTGAAAAAACAAATTTTTGTTATTTTGAACCAGTTTGCGTTCATTTGTTACAGCAGTCACAAGAAACTAATACAATCACATTCCTCCAGAGGGCAAGCCTATCTTTTGCCCAGAAAGAGGGAGAGAAGAGAGCAAGAAGATTTGTTCCTTGCTTTATTAATTTTGCTTTTATTTTTATGGGCTTCTCTGGCCACCCATCCCCAATAGAGAAGATGCTAGCCAACAATGATGGTCTCCACTCTAAAGAGTCACACTTGCGGAGAGGCTTTTCCTGGGTTTTGAAGATGACAAGGCGGGCTATGCCATCTCCTCTCCTGGGCTTCTCACAACTTTATCCACTCAGAGCACAGACTTTTCCAAGCAAACCTACATCATCACCCTCCTCAGGCACAAGCCCTGTTCCCAACCAGCTGGGAGCTCATAACACATTGAGCACTATCTCCATCAATGACAAATATTTAAAGGGTCCCCATGGGAGGCAAGTAAAAAGCACACAATGATAGTACATAATCCATATTTTCAAGGAACTTCAAATTAACGTGATTTGGCTAGAACACTGAGCATCAGTTTTACTAAAAACGTTGAAAGAAAATATGCTAGAATATTACCATGGATCACGTTAATGTGGAATGATATTTTTCTTTCTTTATTTTTTGATAATAAATCTATGATAAAATATCTCCCAATATTGCTTCCATGTCTTAAAAAAACAAACATTTAAATTTAACAAGAGAAAATGAGATCAGACACAATGGTGCCTACCTATAATCCCAAGTACTCTGGAGGCTGAGGCAGAGAATGGAAAGTTAGGGGCCAGCTTGGGCAATTTTTTAATGAGTCCCTAGCTCAAAATGTAGGTCAGTGGTAGAGCTCCCTTGGGTTCAATGCCCAGTGCCACAAATAAATAAGTCAAATAAATAATTAAATTAAAAGAAAGAATGAAAAATAAAAGAGAAAATAAAGGTGGCATATTGTAAGTTATGCCTGAGATTTAAGATAAAGTGCTCTGAGATTTCTTAGTTACTAGGGCTGTGGGAAGACTTTCCAGAAATTTCAGGTCTTTAGCTGGACTTTGAAGAATGGGCAATCAGAGTTTTGTCCTTGGACCTAAGGGGTTTGGGGTTGCTGGTCTAATCATTGGGTGGTGCTGCATTTCTCAATAAGGCAGGTGGATTGGACAGTCTTCAGCCAGGGAGCCAGGACCTGTACAGAAGTCTGGTTCTACAACGACCCAAATCCTGCCACACCATACCAGTGTCTGAATCTCCTTCTGCATTCCCCAGTCCACCATGCTCCTGCCACTTGAGTCATCAGAGATGACTTGGTCTCTCAAATGTCTGGCCTTCACATGTGCAGTTTCCTCTGCCTGGAACATGCTTGCTTCTCTACTCTTCCTTCCCAATCCTCCCCCACCCCTTCTCATCTAGTTACTGTCTACTCATCTTCCAGTGTCCAGCTGAGACATCCTCTGCCCTGGGGAAGCTTGCCTAGTCATCCTCCCACCATTCTGCCTCTAGAGCAATTTAGGCTCACCACAATGTCTCTCAGATATCCTGTACTGTCAATGTCGTGGTCACTTCCGTCTCTTGCTGGACATCTCACGCCTTCAAGTCACCCTTAACATTGAGTCCCATACCCAGAGAGAGAAGGTTTCCAATTATTGTAGAAGCAAAGTAGGGAGGAGACAGAGTTTTATTTGTTATGTACTCACTAGTCATCGCAGGGCTCGATGAGTTCAGTCACTTTGGTGCCAGATTTGCTGCGATCCTCTAATTCACACATCCTCAGCAACAGTTCTGGCCTGTGGGTTCAAAAGTTTTGTGGTTCATTTACTAGCATAGCCATACAAATTATCTACTGAAATGAGGTGCCTATTAAAAACATTTTAATTGATATTAATTAATTAAGCTCCATTGCATAGTGCTCTGTACCTGAATTAGGTATCTTCATTTCCAAAGCTGTTGTATCACTTAGGAGCTGGGTGACTTGATCAAGTTTCATACTATCTGAACCTCAGAAGGTTTTATTTTTCCTTTCTTTCATTCTTTTCTTTTCCTTCCTTCCTTCCTTGCTTTTCTATAATAGAGATCAAACCCAAGTCCTCACACATGCTAGGCAAGTGATCTACCACTGAGCCGCACACCCAGCCCTCTGAAACAGAGTCTTGCTAAGTTGTCCAGCCTGGCCATGAATCTGGGATCCTTGTGCCTCATCCTCCGTAATAGCTGGGATTCCAGCTGTGCACCACAATGCCTGGCTCTCAGAAAGCTTTTCGGTAAATGGTTTGCATAGATATCTGTTTGACAGTGTTGCTGATGGTATTAGATAATAAGTGAAAGTCCTCAAGTAGTAGCTGCTCCACCTGTTTGTCCTTTTCCCCCTCAGGATTGCCATGAACAGAACTTTGGAGGGAAGCTAAGGAAGGAATATGAAAATCGGGAGGAGCAGACAAACTCATTCATCACTGAGGACCCATGCCTTTATGAGTATCCACTGGTTTGATTCTCGCAGCCTCTCTACGAGATCAGTTAACGCTGTCTCGCCTTTCAACTGCATCTGTTCACTAGTGTGAGCTCCTTCTCCCACCCCCAGCTCTCAGGGCAGAGGGAAGAAGCCCTAAGGAAGCATTTGCCAATTTCCATGGTGTAAACATTCCCACCACAATGGATTTCAACTGCTGACCCTTTAACAACCGGTTCCAGGTCCCCTGAACTGTTACCCTTGGGCTCTCCCCAGCCACCCCAGCTGGCCCAGGCACACCCTTGCCTGTCTCATTCTCCCCTCATTCACCGCGTGAGCTTCGCTGGCCTGGTTTGTTCTTTTGGGCCTTCTCTCCTTTACATCAGCTGTAGTGTCTGTGCCGTCTGTCAAAAATTCCCTCCCACTTCCTTCACTTGGCTGCCTCCTTATCATTCCCATCTTGGTATTCATGTTACCTCCACACGGGGTGACCTTCCCTACCCATCCCTGCTGAAGTAGCTCTCCACCCTCAGTTGACCTTTAGTACACCACACCCTGTTTTCCTTTCTTTGAAGCACTTATTGTATGTTATTATATTTATTCTTTTACTCTCTGTCACCCCCTACTGGAATGTAGGTTCCTGGGGAGCAAGCACTTCATCCCATTCACTTCTGTGTTCCCAGCACATAGTAGATGCTCACTGAATGACTGTTGAGTGAATGAATGAATGATAAAGAAGAAAGTAAAAGTCAAACATAGGAGCTCAAACTCTTGAACTTAATCCTCAAATGTCCCATAAAAGAACCCAGATTGTGTAGCTACATGCAACTACAATGCAAAGAGATCTATTCTGTGTTATTGAGGGAAATATAAATTGGTACAACTATTTTGAAAAGCATGTTTGCATTACCTTCTAAGATGAAGATGACCCAGCAATTCTCCCACAAAAGTAATTCTTTGCACAAGTGCAGGTGAAGATATGTAAACATATTCATGACACCATAGTCATAAAAGTAAAATCTTGTAATTAATCAAAACGTGCATTAACAAGAAAAGTGAAATATCACATAGCTAACAACCAGTGAACTACCTGATATTCAACATATAACTTAACCACATACTATTAAGGAAAAAATGGGATTCCAAAAGATTACAAATAGCACTATGTGTTTTTATGATATTTAAAGCATCTTTACAAGTTTGGTATATGTTGGAGGACTCCTTGTAGCTACAATACAACTATATAAAAAGAAAAACAAGAGAACAATGAACATAGTATGCAGAATAAAGGTATCTAGGATGCTGGGAGGCAGGAATAGACTTGGGGGAGGTGTTATCTGGATAGATATTGGTTATTGTCAAGTGCTTTTATCCTAGGTGAATTGTTTGTAGGTGCTTATTGTATTACTAAAAATAGACTGATTAAATAACTAGCTAATTAAGTATAAGTAAGCCATGTATAAATAATCTAATTCTGTGCTCACAAGTCCCATTCAACAAAGAAACTGCACAAATATCACGAGAATGGGAAGATGAATGGTGCATCCAGAAGGAACCTCAGCAAGGTCCTTGCTTGGTGCTTTCACTTTCATGATTCATTTAATTACCACAAATCCCCTTTGAGGTAAGTATTGGTTTCAACTTAAAGATGAGGAAACTGGGGTGAATTGTTTTGCTTATTTTCCCAAACTTATAATCCAATGTTAGAACAGAATTTGTCACACAAAAAAAAAAAAAACTATGAAAAAAGTTCAACATCTTTAACAATGAGAGAAATGAAAATCAAAACTAAGATTTTTATCTCACCCCAGTTAGAATGGCAATTATCAAGAACACAAACAATAATAAATATTGGTGAGGATATGGGGAAAGGGCACACTCATCCATTGCTGTGGGAATACAAATTGCTGCAACCGTTATGGAAAGTGGTATGGTGATTCCTCAGAAAACTTAGAATGCGACCACCATTTGACCCAGCTATCCCATTCCTCAGTTTATACCCAAAGGACTTAAAATCAGCATATTACAGTGACACAGCCACATCAATGTTTATAGCAGCTTACTTCACATTAGCTAAACTATGGAACCAACCTAGATGGCCTTCAACAGATAAATGAATTTTAAAAAAATGTGATACACACACACACAGAGTGAAATATTACTCACCTTAAAGAATAATGAAATTATGGCATTTGCAGGTAAATGGATGGAACTGGAGAATATCATGCTAAACAAAATAAGCCAATCCCAAAAAAAACAAAAGCAAAATGTTTTCTCTGATGCGTGGATGCTAATTCACAATGGAGAAGAATAAAGTCACTTTAGATTAGGTAGAGGGGAGTGAATGGAGGGGAGGGGGTATAGAGGTAGAAAGGGTAGTAGAATGAATCAGATGTTATTACCCTATGGACATCTATAACTATACAAGCGGTGGGATTCTACATTATGTACAGCCAGAAGAATGAGAAATCATACTCCATCAAATATGATGTATCAAAATGCATTCAACTCTATAACTAATTAAAACAAATTAAAAAAGTAAAAAAAAAGAATGGGTGGTTTTTTGGGTAGGGAATCAGCAAGCTGTGGATGAGGGAGGCAGTAACTGATGCTTTTAATTTTTCAATTTCTAGCATAAAATGGGAGAAATATCACTGGATAGAGTTCCTGGATATTCTACCTATGACTTGGCAGAAAGAAAATGTTCCCACTCATGTTTTCATAGGTCAAAAGTTATTTATCTTTATAGATAGATAGATAGATAGACAGATAGATAGATAGACAGATTATATATTCAGGCAGAGGTCTTAAGGAGGAGGAACATGGATACATGGATTCCAAAATAGATGTGATGGGGATTTTGTTCAGAGATGGCAAAATCCCAAAACAAAACAAAAAAGCAAACAATAAAAAATAGTCTCCTCTTTCTTTCTTTTGCAGTTGAGGGAAAGATTTTGATTTTTTTCCCCTATATGAGAAAAATATAAACTTTTTATTGGTTTGTACTGATGATCCAAACTCTGTTTTTCAGCCTTGGCCTTTCCTACTGTTTAACTTGGCTTCACAGATTAAATAAGCAATCGGTAATCAAACACATGCCTCTGTGAACTTTCTATGTGCTCAGCACTACTCTGAATCCTAGGGACAAATTTAAGAGACTGAACTGGCCTCCAGTTCCAGGTCCTTAGGTCTGGTTCACTTGTGCTTGGGGATAGCAGAGAACTGGCCTGACCTTGTAAAGTCCACTTCACTCCAACATTCCCTGTGTGGCCCTTCTCTTTTCTCCCCAACCTAATTTTCCCTATCCTTCCTTCCCAAAAAGCTCTTCCTCCCATGGCCAACCCTACTCCTTTCCCTTTTGCTTTCCTGTAGTCAATCATGGTCTGTCAAAATTAAACTGTTTTTTAAAAATCATCTAGTTCCATGCTTTAAAATTCATTTCTTCTAAACTCTTCCCACATCTTACATAAAACTCCTGAGAAGGAAAAGTGAGAAAGTATCAGCTCTGAAAGAGCAAGAGGGGATGTCATGCTTTATCCACCTGATGTGCAATTGGAGAATCCCACCCCACCCCAAACGTTCCTGAGTTCCAAAGTCCTAGGGATTATCAGCCCTCATGTGGCAGATGAGGAAACCTAAGCATAGAGAAAGGCAGGACATGGCTTCAACATCCTCTGGCCATGAGGAAATCCAGGAGCTAAGGTCATCCAAAAGTTCAAAAACTGCCCTCCTTCACCAAGGCGACACCCCAGTCCTCAGAACTGGAAATGTCCTGTGGACTTTACTTTCTGTTCTTAATGCAATCACTTGACCTATTCTCAAGGAAAAGACACAGGACACGCTTCAGAAATGACAAGTTCAGTCAACTGGGCACATCCTGGGCATCCTCATGGCCATCTCAGAAGGACTACTATATCAAGAAAGTGTCTGGGGTCATTGGCATGGAGTTGAACGGTGCTCAGATGAACAAAAGTGCTTTGTGGTCCAGGATGGATTCTGACGCGAGTGGGCACCGGGACATGACAACTTGCTCTCCCTCCCGAGGAAGCAGTTTAATGCTGATGTGTCAGCGCCATCATTGTGAAAGGGCTCCCTCCCACCTCCTCCCTCTCCACTGCTGTAAGATATACTGTCAGATGAATAGTCATTCTTCTTCTCTCTTTGTAACAGAACAATATGGATGTTTATAAAGCTTCTCCCAGTTTTTCCAAGTCAATACAATTAAAGCACAATGCATCTTAATTGCCAGCCCCCTAACCCTTACAGAACAAATGGCAGCAGTCCCAAGGAAAACAAACTCTGGCACTGAACCCAAGAAGGATGAGGAAGCCAAGCTGGGACTTCTGTAAAAATGCCCCCAGACAAAATGGTTTGCATCTTAGGTGCCTGGTTTTCCATAGTGCTTTTTCCAGGCCACCTAAAACTATTTTTATGCCCATCATTTCCTCTGTCTCACAGTTTGCCTAGAGGCAGGAACAAAGACAATTAATTCAGTCTTTTGGGAGAACCAGACAGAGCTCCAGCAATTCTATGTGGAGGGGCATAGGAGAAGTCATAAAGGCAATCACAATCAGTCATCTTAAAATTTGACATCCTCTCTGTCACCCTAACAATGGAAGTAAGTAGTTGTTTGGCCAAATGTTATAAATTCAAGTCCTTACTACCATTCATGAGCCATATGATCTTGGACAAGATACTGATCTCTGTCTGTTTCAGCATCTTCCTTTGTAAAGAGTCTGATAATATGGTAGTTGCTACTTCATAGCTGTGTCAAGGAATTAAATGAACTACACACATAAGAAGCCAAGAAGGGCATTAGCATATAGTAAGTACTCAGTAAATTTATTATTCGTGTAGTGCTTTGTGGTTCACAAAGCACTTCCACTGATAAAAATTTCTCTTGATTAGATTCCAGACCATTTGACTCTCAGCCAAGACATTTGGAAAAACTTTAGAACACTAAGTAATGTCCAGCATGCTTTACCAAACACATCCAAAGAAGTTAGAATATGTATGTTTTCCCTGTTCCTGTTTTGTCTTTTTGTTCTGTGTTCTGCAAGGTCCTGCGCATCCCCTCTGCTTGGGAAGCAATATAAACTGTCTCAACCAGGAGGTATGAACTGTCCCTCATCCTTTACACAGCACCAGGCAGAATTATACACATTGTTGCTGAAGCACCAACAGTCTTATCTCCCCACTTCCAAAGGCCCACTGGATATTTTGTAGAAAACCTATTGGTCCAGGGTGGGGTTCAGGAAATGAAACTGTATCTTTTCCCCTAGTCAAACCTTTTCCTTGCCTAAAGCCACATCAAAAAGCTAGTCCATGGGAGCTGGTTACCCCCTCTCCCCAACACACTAAGCAGGGAAGGGGTAGAGGGCTTCTGTTTCTGGACAATCCTGTGTATGCAATACTAGGTTACTATGACTCATACACATGAGACAAATGGGGCTGTTGAGGGGAGAATAAATTGCCCAGGAGCCACAGTGGGTAAAAGTTCTAGCGATGCACTTATGAGGTAAACTTGGGTCTTTGAGCTGAATTTTCTCATCTATAAAACTGGTATAATAAATACACACCTCATAGGGCACTGTAAAAATTCAATGTATTAATTCATTCAATTATACTTAGCACAATTATTGACACATACAAAAGTCCAATAAATACTAAGTTTTATTATTATGCAGAAAAGAGAATCTGCTTGGGTTTACTCCATGCCTCTTTTGTTACAAAAAGCGGTGCTCTGTCCCAGACTGAGGACAATAAGAAAGACTCCTACTCCCTTAGCCAAATTTATGATGTGGGGCATGGAGCAATGGTAATCATGACTTCCAACTATGAGGTGAGTGGGAAGCATTTAGTCCAACCTGTGGTGCAACTCATTTGTTGTTGCAGTGCAGCTCTGATTTTCCCCCTTTTCTGATACCAAGGATTGAACCCAGGGGCACTAAACCATTGGGTCATATCCCCAGCCCTTTTTATTTTATTTTTTTAATTTTGAGACAGGGTCTCCCTAAGTGACTTAGGACCTCAATAAGTTGCTGAGGCTGTCTTTGAACCTGCAATTTTCCTACCTCAGCCTTCTGAGTTCCTGGGATCACAGGTGGGCACTACTGTGCCCAGCTGATCCTGTTTTTTTGTATGTATGTATGTATGTATGTATGTATGTATGTATGTATGTATTTTTGAATGCTTTTGTTGACAGAATACTCACTTCCTTGTGAGAATCAGCCTCTTGGTATAATTTTCCCTCTTCCTCTATGCTCTTTCTGCCCTCCTCCTTTCTCTTGTCTTCTTTCATTCTCTCTTCTCCCTTCCAGGCTGTCCTCTCAACTCCTTGGTTCAGTCAGTTTCAAAAGTCCGAGGACCCACTTTTCCCCAGAAGGTGCCGTCCAGTCACAGCTCAGTCACAGAGAGTGTGGCAGGTCTTCAGTGTAGACCTTGGCTAGCTGATGGGAACTCGGCCTCCAATGGTCATAACAACTCTTTACGTTTTGCAGGATCCTTTGGAGGCAAAGCCTTTAACTGGACCTTACTGGTCTTGGCTTCAGGTCCATTAATGACATCGATCAGTGCACCCGATTTCCATTATTATTTAACCTCATCAAGAACCAAATAAAACTTAAAAGGGTTGATCTGGAATCTGGAGTCCCCGCAGCTCGATATGCAAGACCAGGAGAAGACTGGGCCTCTGGAGTGACGCTCTGAAGCAAAGCACACTGGCAGCCTCTGTCGTTGGAGTCTTCTGACCCACTGAAGCTCGAACCCAGCCGCGAGTAGCCTGGGACAGCGCTGCCGCTTTAAGAGAGGGGCGGGGCCCGGGTACAGGCCAGTCAGGGCCAGCCCACAAGGCTCCTTTTCCTTTTTGATCCATTCAAAAATTACTCATTGCAAATTCCCGGACTGCTTGCCGAGGAGAAGGAAAGGGGCGGAGTAGGGAGGGCTACCGCAGGCGCAGCGCTGGGAGCACCCGGGGCCCGCCTGGCTGACGGCTGGTCCCGCAGAAGCTGCTTGCCAGCGTCTGGCTCCGGTGGCCTCACCAGGAAGCGTCAGAGTCTCGACACTAGGGAAGCTCGGAGCACCGCCTCCGCCGCCGCCGCCTCTCGCCTGGCTAGCGATCGCGGAGCCCCCTCCTCTGGTCCGGCCCGCGCCGGACGACCGGCTCGGGAGCCTTCCCAGGCAATGGCTGGCCGCTAAGCCATGGCTCAGTACCGCACCCCCAGCCCGCTCGGCATGGCTGCGAGAGAGGAGCTGTACAGCAAAGTCACCCCCCGGAGGAACCGCCAGCAGCGCCCCGGCACCATCAAGCATGGATCGGCGCTGGACGTGCTCCTCTCCATGGGGTTCCCCAGAGCCCGCGCGTAAGTGACTGGTTGGGAGTCCCGGCGACCTCTCCCACACCGCACGGCCGGCCCTCGGCTTCGCTCCGGCTCGCCTCCCTGCGTCTGCCTGACAAGCGGCGCGCTCCCCGCTGCCCACGACCTGTTGGGGGCAGAATGGGCGCGAGAGCAGCCCGGGACTCCTCTCCGGGCCCTGGTACTAGAAAAGAGGCGGCGGGGGAGCGCTGGGCTGAGGGCTTGATTCGGGTTGTCTAAAGATTGGGGGCACAGGTATAGTGTTCGAGTCCCGGTTAGGGTGCTCAGAACCCAGTGCGCGGGCCCTACGGGTGGAGCTAAGCGGTTCTGTCGCGCGCGCTTCCCGAGGTCTCCTGCGTTGAGCTCCCTGAAGAGGAGGGGCCCCTTGGAGGACTCTGGCAACCTCTCCGTCCAGAATGCTGGGCTGGCTTGGGACCCTCTGGTGACTGGGGGGAAAGGGCAAGGGATTGCGGGGCAGGGAAGCCGGCGCCCCCCCCCCTCCCCGTAGCGTCTTCCAGCTCCGGATGTCGGTCTCGGGTTTGGTCTCCCTCCGGAGTAGGAGGAGCGGGAGCGTGGGTGTTGCTGCGTGTTCATTGATAGGGAGGATGGAATGAGGGGAAGCGATTCCTCCAGGGGACCCGGGTTCTCGTCAGTGGTGACGGCAGTGCAGGAATCTGTGGGTGCCTGAAAGTAAGGAGGGGGAGCTGTCCTCCTTTTTCCTTCCTCCCAGAAGGTGGGCTAGGGAAGGGCAGAGAGAGCGCAGGTGGCTGCCGGGACAGCCAGCTGGGTGAGAAGATGCCTGGTTGCCAGCACCCGGGCAGCAGCAGCAGGCGTCTTCGGAAGCTGGTCAATTCGAGTCTGGGGGCTGGAACCCTGCCTAAGAGGAAGCCAGAGCCCGGGGCCAGACCCCTCTCCCCAGTTGGAGAAGTGAGGGCACAAAGCCTGGGTTCTTGCTGCTCCTTTCCATCTTTCAATGACATCACCTGAACAGGAGAGTTGGGCAAACTTTATCAGAAAGCGCCAAGCAAATGAAAGTTCTTTCTTTTCTCCTCCCCCCATACCCCACAAGATGGTAACTCTAGGTGTCCCTCCTTTGTCCCTGGTGAACTTTATTCTTTACTAACTTGACTGTACCCTAACCTCTTTATCAAAGCAAATTCATGAATTTCTCATTCCACCCAGCCACTGGGACAGGTTGGAGTTGTGTTGACCACATTTCATGGAAGGTCACAACGTGGACCAAAGGTTTCTGCCTTCCATTGACTTCCAAGCATGAAGGCTCCAATTCTGGATGCCAAAATTGCTGGGAGAAGATGTGGTGGGCTCTGCTGGGGTGTGTCAGGTGTGAGTGTTGCAAGTTAGGTCCTTCCTAAGAATGACAACGTGCGTAACTCTTCTTAAGAGCTGGAGGTAGCATCTGGGAATGCTGCAGAATTAGCTTAGTCCTAGCCTCATTCTTTTCTGAAATGAGGCCAGCATTAAAGACCTGAATTGCTTAATTAAGGGAAAAAGTACTTAGCTGGACTTCTTACACTGTCATATTTGCTATTCAGCAGGCTTTAAGGGAATATTTTTTCCTGAACTGAATCCAGGAGGCCTTGCCCAGGTTCTTGACACATTAGTGCGATGGTCTAATTTTGGCTTGTTCTACTCCTGAAAATCTCATAAGAGCTAGCATTTATTGGATACTTACTAGATACTATTCTAAGTACTTTATCTTTATTACCCATTCCCCCCCTCACAAACTAATGAGAAAGGTACTATTTGCCCATTTTATGAATTGGGAAACTGAGACTTATAAAGGTTACATAACTTACTTAAGGTCACAATAGTAAGCAGTGAAGCTGGAATAGAAATCCAGGCATTGTGTCTGCACTGCCAGGTCTCACATCTAGGGACAAGATGTGATTGATTAAATGTGGGTGCAATGATCAGAGCAGTTCCTGACATATAGGGCACAGTCCTTAAGTGTTAAATGCTGAATTAGTTTCCCATGGCTGCTGTAATGAGTGACTAGAAATTGTGTGACTGAAATCAACAGAAATGTATTTTCTCATGACAAAATCAGTATCTCTGAGCTAAAATCAAGGTGTCAGCAAGGCCATGCTTTTTCTGGAGGCCCTAGGGGAGAATTCATTTCATATTTCTTCCAGTTTCTAATGACTGCTGGCATTCCTTGGCTTGTGGCTACCTTATTCCAATCTCCGTCCTTATTGTTATATTGTCATTCCCTCTTTGTGCCAGATCTCTCTTAGAAATCTTGCATTACATGTAGTAATTTGGTGGTGGTGGTGGTGGGTATTAGGGATTGAACCCAGGCCTCCTGCACCCCAGGAAAGCACTGTACCACTGAGCTATATCCTCAGCAAACCCCACCCACTTTTTTTTTTTTTTAAAGAGACAGTATCTTGTTAAGTTGCCCAGGCTGACCTTGAACTTGCAATCCTCCTGCCTCAGTATCTTGAGAAGCTGTGTGTGTGCTCCTGAACCTGACTCTATTTATTTGGTACTGGGGATTGAATCCAGAGATGCTTTATGCTTTATTACTGAACAACATCCTCTGCCCTTTTTATTTTTTATCTTGAGGGGGTCTTTCTAAGTTTCTTAGGACCTCACTAAGTTGCTAAGGCTGGCCTTGAACTTGTTATCCTCTTGCCTCAGCCTCCAGAGTTGTTGGGATTACAGGTGTGTGTCACCACCACCCAGCTATTTTTTAACCAATATATGAAACAAAAATTATACACATTAATGGGGCACCATGTATTGTTTTGATACATGTATATGTTTAAATCAGGCTAAACTTAAGTATCACCTCAAATATTTAATCATTTCTTTATGGGAAAAATTTCAAGATATTTTCTTCTAAATTTTTGAAATATTTGGTACATTATTGTTATTTATAGTCATATGCATGCTATGCAGAGATAGCACACTAGAGCTTCTCGCTCCCATGTAACTGTAACTTAGAACCCATTGATCAATCTCTTCCTATTTCTTCCTCCTCCTACTCTCCCTGGCCTCTGATAAACCAACATTTCTTTCAAATATTATGAGGTGAATTTTTAGATCTCACATGTAGTACTTGTCTTTCTGTGCCTATTTTTTTTCTTAATTTCTATTCAAATGACTGAATTTCATTCTTTTTTTTTTTTGGCTGAATAGTATTCCATTGTGTATAAGAAGATATGTATGTTTGCACTTGACCCACTTGGACAATCCAGAACAATCTCCCCATCTCAAGATGGTGAACTTAGTCATATTTGTAAAGTCCTTTCTTTATATATAAGGTAGCATACGCATGTTCTAAGAATTGGGTTGTGGCTATCTTTTGAGGAGTCATTATTTAGTCTATCACAGCTACTATTATTATTGCGCCTGGTGCTGCCTTTCTTTACCAAAGTTAGTAACAGAGAAGGCCTGGTGGGAGGGAGGTGGAGTTTTCTGTTCTTTCTTAAATTCTGTGTCCACATGCCCAGGGCTCTTAGAGGTCATCTGATCTAGCTCAACTCCCTGAGCAGGCCTAATCTTCTCTACCTTATCCCAGAAATGCTAGTGCAATTGGCTTTCCCCTCAATAACTCAGATCTGTAACAAGAGGGGTCAGATTTCAGAGAGCAGACTTTCAACTTCATTCTGGAGAACTGAGAAGGAAGATTGCAAGGGCATCAGGCTCCACTGATAAGAAACTTCTTTCTCAAGTCCTCTGCTTGGAGGAAGGAGCAAGATGAAAATCTAAAGCAGGAAAGAACAGGTCCAGGAGGAAGGGATGAGAATGATATCCAGGACGCCTTGAGAAGGGATGAGAATGACGTCCCAAGCATGGCCCTTGGGAGAGTGGTGGCAGCAAGGCCAGGTTTTTCCTGGAGGCATAACTGAGTCTGGAGTAGTGAGAAGCAAGAAGGGACACACCTTGGCTGGGCTCTGGGTGGGCTGCAGAGAGGCCAGAGGCCAGGAAGGCCTGGTCCCATTTCAGCCTATGCTGTGCTGAGCTGCAGGCTTGAAAAGTCACTTAACCCCTAAGGGCATGGCTGGTGCCCTCTCAGGGGAACATGCTCCATGAGTATATGCTTGTTAAGTGCTTGACAGAGCTAAAAGCACAGAATGGCAGGGCTGAGCCCAAGCAGGGAGACGTGGAGTGTGTTCTCTCTTGCTCATTACTCCTGGAGCTAGGCTTGGGTTTTTTTTCAACCCATAAGAATTTCAGGCCAATGTAGACACTGCTGTAGAAGAAACTTCCCATGGAGTAAGGTGGACAGTGGAGATCTTGTGGGATGCATGAGTGTGGGGTGGAGCAAGGAGGTCTTAGGGACGAAACAAGAAGGAAAATTTCAAGGGGCCAAAATGGCCTATCCCTTCCTTTTTCTTTCTATACTCATTAGCACTTCCCTGTTCCAAAAGTTCTAAAAATAAAAGTCTAGCTTCCTC